AATAAATTCAAATTATTTAATGTCTAAGGAGCCAGCAACTGGAGACAGGCAAAACCTCAGTCATCACTGGGACTGACATCTCTTCTGCACCATCGCAATAGTTATCTGTCTCTTCCCCATCATTTCAACGTCAAAGTGCTTATGCATTTAATGCATTTCTTACAGCACTGCTTGAGATAGATACATGCTATCAGGCAATTAAACCAGAGGACAAGAAATTGAAGCCAGATCTTCATAGACTCAACCTACCACCCCATCACCAGAACAATTCTATACTCCTCATGGCTTCTGGTTCCTGATCAGGCTGCTGATCAGCTCATGATCATGGGACAGGGGATGGTTTGGCTTTGTACAGTTCTGATGAATATTCATTTCTATACTAGTGTTTTTTTATGTATGCTGATACCATTCTCTCTTGGCATCTCTTCTTTCCAAAGACTTTGCCAGTAGGCTGTGCTCTCTTGTTTTCATTTTGCTTTGAGTTCGATGTCCCCACATAGCACCAAATTCAATGCCTTTGTACTCCACCTCTTCTGTTCTTGGCAGCAAAATGTTGTCCTGCAGCAAACAAAGTTTCAGAGATGGCCAAAGGCTGGTCACGAGGGAAAAATCTCCCAAACTGGGAAAATGCAATGAAAAGTCATATGTGACTGCACAGACTTAAACCTAAATTCCAGAACTTTCGGTTATTGTCAAACTAGGGACCACTTTTTTTCTTCTGAAGGAACAAAGATTTCCTGTTAAATTTTGCATGCAATTTTGAAGAGAAAAATCTGTTTCTTCCTCAATATTACACAACAGGTCAGCGCCGAAGGGATTTAGCACATTAATCCATCCTGAAAAAAGGATTGAGTTTCTGATTATTATTGCATACTATTGTCACATATAGAAACAAAAACTTCTAAATCCTAATTGGAAACATCCCAGTGTGGTCTCCCGGAAAGGACACGGCCCTGTAAAACTACACATTGTAGACCTATTTCCTATGTGCTACAAAACAGAGTTTTGGTTGTTGTTACCCAGATCCTATTGGGAACAGCAAGGAAAGACATATGTAGTATTTGTTAATTAGTTCCTAGCCCTGGTATTTTAAATTTAAAGAAAGATACATATTTTTTTATTTTCTAACCCATGAGGTAGATGCAGATGTTAAGTGGACTTTGAATCACAGAAGGGTTGAGGTTGGAAGAGACCTCCAAAGGTCATCTGGTCCAACCCTCCAGGCAGGACCACCAAGAACCAGTTGCTGAGGACCATGTCCACACAGCTTTTAAATATCACCAGGGATGGAGACTCTACAACATCTCTGGCCAAGCTGTGCCAGTGCTCAGTCATCCTCACAATAAAAAAAGTGTTTCCTGATGTTCAGTTTGTGCCCACTGCCTCTGGTTCTGTCAGTGGGCACCAGTGACAGAGCCCGGCTCCATCTTCTTTGCACCCTTCCTTCAGGTATTTGTATTCATTGATGAGATGCTCCATTTCCTTCATCATTTTAGGGGCCCCTTGATGGACTCTCTCCAGTAGCTTTATCTGTTGTACTGGGGAGCCCAGAACTGGACACAGCTGGGAAAAAAAGATTTATAACCCTCTCTAACAGTGATTTCCTCAGCAGACATAAAGCAAACTTCTTACCCTTATACCTTTTTAGGACCATGCACAATCCTTGTTGTGTGTCCAGCCATCCACCTCCTTATTACCAACCAACCCCGCCCAGAGGAAACACACTGCATCTTTTCCCTGTACTGGAAATGCTTATGCCACCGGCTCAGGCAAAGCATAGCTATCACTTTTGATGGACTAAGAGTCAACGTGATGACATTCAGGTGATGGCCTCAAGTTCAAGAGGACAAGGTAGGGAGGTTGCCTGGGTTGCACTGTTAAGAGCAGCTGTAGGTAGGCAAGAGTACTAACAGCTGAGCACAATAATGTCACCATTCGGGATTATTCTGTTACAGTCTGACTTTTAGTCCTATGCACTGTCTTGTTCCAGCCATGTATAACCATGATGTTAGTCTCCTACAGATGGAAGGATCATCGGTGCTGCCATTGCAAGCAGTTGCCCACATACTTTTCCCTTTACTAAGCATTTTCAGCTTAAAAAGACTGAAGTTTGGGGCTCAAGTTGATCTTCCTTCAGCCACCTGGAACACAAGTGGCTCGAGTCAGCTGCTCAAGCATGGTGTATGTGAGCAGCGCCTGCCCCACCGCCTGCCTAAGCGCTACAGATACTGTTCATTTGAAAGCCAGGAATGTCTCTGAAGAACACTGTTTTTCCCCCCAAGCAAACACCAGCTAAGAGAGAAATTAAAGTCATTTTTTCTAAAGAGCAGAGGAAGGACAACCTTGTTTGTATGCCCCTTGACACAGCTGGAGATATCACTGAAAGCGTGCTGCTGCACTTCAGCAACCCCAGGGAACGGGGACTTTGCTTCACTTGAGTGCGTGTGGGTGCCTGCGTGGGGTGCTGCACAGTTTACATCTGTACTAAAAGAACCTCCCCCCCTCAGTAATGCAATTCATAAAAATAACTGAGATTTGTTATTCAGCAAATCAAACGAAAAGGACCAGACAACAGGGATCCATTTTTGTGTGGCTCTAGAAGACAAAAGAAACTGAGATCGTTACCCTAACATGACAGAACAGAAAGGAAAGTGGTTTAACTCTCCCAGAGTCAAACCCTTCTTGTTTCATTTGGGAGGTAAAGAGACACCTATTTTCTCTTCATATCTCTACATTATAGCTGTTAAGGTCATAGCAAAGGGACAAACTTCCCTTTCCCCCTCAGCTTCACTTTCAGCTTATGTAATTTTCCAAGTTAAGAACAGTTTGTCCTGAGACTGCAAGATAAGGGGATGCTCAGCTTAAATTCAGATAACCCTGCAGGTAGTTTAGTCAGAAAGAACAGCAAGGGAAATTTTGCAAAATGGAGATTTATACCCAACATCGACCCATAAGGAACACTGATACCATGACACCTTGGAAGAGAATGGGGGGGGTGGCCAAGAGTTTACTGCAGAGCTGTCCAAACACACCTTGCTCCCAAATTCAGTCTCCTTTGGAGTCAGTGTCTCACCTTTGTTCGAGCGTTATATTCAGAAGGACTAGGTGTTGACCCAGGGGCAGATCCCTCAGACTGCTGACTCCATGCTCCATCAGTGTAAGCACAAATCCTGCTGGAGTCCCAGGCATATTGCAGCTGCTATATCTCTTCAGGAACAGAGTGCTGAATAGTGATTTCAATTCACTTCAGTGCTCCCATGTTTCTGCCACCATAAGAGATACTGTCTGCACAGCGGAGCACAAGATAACGTGGAACAACATAGTCCAGTAATGTTTCATGCATCTTCTCCAGCTGGAATGAAATACTGGCAGGCAACTTGCTCATCTTGCATAGCTTCATCAGCCAACAACACTTCAGACATCAGAAAACACGCATAAGGTGTAATGAAAAGGCTTCCAAAGGGAAACAAGCATCTAGCTTCCAGGAGACAAAGTGGGAGGACTTAGAAAACAATTAACATTCAAGCTGGAAAAGGAATCTTTTTAGTGCTGTGTGAATTACAGTTGAAAATGCTCTTTTAAATATTCTGCCCTACCAACAAGCTGTATGACCACAAAAGCCAAGGTGACATCATTTCAGAGAATATGACTGCAAAATGCTTCAGCACAGTTTATAGGATGTTTAAAAAGAGAATTTCCCCTGAAAATACATAGCTGTCCTGTGACATGCACATGGAAGTCCACTCACCCTTCACTGCAGCAGCTCACTGGTCTACAATTAATGTCATGGATTGTGTTAACATTTTGTTTCCTCAAAAGTGAATTACTGCTGGGCAAACAAAAGGGAAGCTTTATTTTCTTTCAGCATTATCACCCAAGGGAAAATACAAGTCTTCTCTAGGTAGCAATGTGCTCTGTATTGATAAACACCATGGACTCCCCACTTCACAGGGGAAAAGTAAAGCCCAAAATGGGGCAAGACTGAGCACCGCTGGTGTGCTGTGTCACAGCATCTACAGACCGTGAGGCCTGCTTACATAGGAGATACAGGAAAGCCCTGTATCTAGTCTCCAGTGTTATTCTCTACACCAGTTTTGTCAAAGTGCATCCGCAACAGCATGCTGAAAAGTGAAATGGATCAAAGGAAGAGAGAGTTGACTCTTCAAAGATCCCTTTAGAAAAAGGGATTTTTTGCTTATTCATCTTGACAACATCCTTCTAAAAAGGTACTTTTGGCCAATCCAGGTTTTTAAATACTTTTTATTTTTAAAAGAAACTGTAAAATATGACAACAGGACAATAGGCGTCATTCAGCAATATCAGTCTCCGCTCTATAGAGGAAATTAATAAAAAACATTAGCATTTTAAAAAATAAATATGACTAACCATATGGAAAACAGGAAAATCAAATTCATCTTCAACAACACAGACAAGTATAAATGCTGAAATGTTGCTGTGCAAGGTAGAGGTAGAGGTAAACCAGACTTCTCAGACCTAGACCAATTTTGGACCTGTCCCCCTCCATGCACACACTCCCAAAAGTTCCTGTTGCTAATACTTTAATTTGAATCAGCCTGTCAGCCTCATCAAACTCAAACAGGCCTGTGTGCTCCTTGTCATGCTCTGAGCCAGAGAAGTATTTCAGTTTTTGTAGAAATTAGTTGCTAAGCAACCTGCCCCCTGGTTTTGCAACTTGTGCAGCAAGGAAGGAGGCAGGAAGCTGGATTTTAGCTACTACAAACCAATGAAATGCTCTCCAGATGATGCCCACTAGGACAAATAGATGGTAGACCCCTTTTAGGAATTGCAGTAGTCCATCAGCTCCTTGGTGATGCACCCAGTGAACATGCAACACTGTGCCTGGAGTTCCTCCA